AATCACTATACTCTGGGCTGTCCTCCAGGGTCGTAGTGTCGCAGACCTTTCAAGTGGGCTGTATCACAGTTTGATGCCCTAACTCCTAAACGCAGGCAACATGAGATTTTTCAGCAAATGTCTAAATTTTATGCAATCCTACATTACAATTATATCAAAATCATTAAAATAGTGTGCTATTAAATAAAAAGACAGCAATAATTAGATTATGGAAGATCTTAAAATTCCAACTTGAAGTAATCTGAAAGAAAGGGCCAGGACTTCATTGTTCACCCATCTGCCTGGTATTCACCCAAAATATGTGAGGTGTCCATCCATGACACTTAATGTCCTTCCATAACAGTTTTAATAACTTTGATTTATTAATCCACTGAAATCTTATATGTCAATTTTTTTTCAAAGGTTGTTGACCCATACCATGTTTGAGGAGAATATGAAGTAAAAAGTTTTTAGCTTTTGTAATGACTGAGAAAACTTAAAAAATAGGTACCTAAATTGTCGTGGAAGAACATTTTGATATTAATTAATCCATTCTTTTCTATTCAGAAAAATTTCAATGTAATGCACTTGGTTATATGTAAAAAATAACTTATATTTAATGTCTGTAGCCTTTATTATTAAAAATAATCAATATTTTGTAAACTACATCAAAAATAAAAATGTCCTTCCATAACACTATTTTATAAATTTTCCAGATAAAAGTTTCAATAAAATAATAATCATCAAAACCTTTTTTGGGGGGATTCTGGTGTCTAGTGGTGTCTGGTTTCAGAAATTATAAGTTTTGTAAGTAGGAGTCTTTTTTGAAATTTTAAGGTCTCTGGACCAAATACCACGGAATGGCCCTTATACTGAAAAATGATGTTGGAAATTCCCTTTCTATCAAGGAATTCAACCTTAATGTTAACTTTGTTCTAGACTAATTCAGTATCCAAAAGAATGATCTGAATGGCTTATTCTTCCAATGGAAAGTAATTACACATACATGTAGCATGTTATGAAATAATTGACTAGATTAAACAAAATCATCCAAATCATCAAAAATCCTCAAGGTCATATTATATAACCAGATAAAAGAGTAGTTAAATGGCATGCAAATATTTAAAAAAAAAAAACCTTTAGTACTAGTAATAATAATTGGCAACTGACATTTAAGACACGATATGAAAGGCCCCAATTCAGAACAAACCATAGAATATGATTAAAATATGGAACCGCATTGACTCTTGGATACTTTAAAAAAATCCAAAGTAAAGTTTCATATAATGAAATGTTATGTAAAGTTATGTGGGTTTTAGATTTTTTACTAAAATATTGCCTTTTTTGCTTTATTCTCATACCTATTATTACTTTTATTTGATTCAATTTTACTTCGTTATTGTCATAATTTCACTGATAAATTTATTCCTCTTTTTTTCATTAACACAATATTTTATTCTAACCCCTCAGAGAGGTATGTGAAAGAAGTGTATACACTATCCTCTTTAAAGTTAATATTATTTACTATATAAGACAAAGTGTCTCCTAGTGAGAAGAAATGGACAATTAATTTCCAGACACAAACAGCAACTAAGTTGTAACTACATGTAGATGGAAAAGATGTGCCTTTAATAATCGAAGTAAATCTAATCGACAGTTCAATTTGACAAGGTAAAATATATAGTAAAATGAGATGAGTTATAGGGTGATGTCAAATGGCTATGACACAGGTAGGGACAGTGATCGATATATATGAGTCGGTTGGTATACCAAAACACCAGCTACAACAAATAATAATGAAATCCCCTACATACATGTAGCACATCACTTCATAACAATAACAAATCAAAAGCAGTCCAATGTGAAAAATTTTTTTAAAAATTATTCTGTGATCTGAGACAGCATTAAAACCTAATCCATTCTAAGCTAGTTAATCCAATTTACCTATTCAGGGATGAGACTACCATTTTGTAATAAAAAAGTATAAGATTAAAGTTTTTATTGCAGATCTGCATCAGCTGCAAAAGTAATATTTTTGGTTCCCAAATATTCCAAAAGCTACCTGATTATGATCGTAACAATTATAACAAGCAAATAAGTAGACAAATTTTGTCTTCCAACCCTGTAAGTATGTTTTCTTACTATCTTATCAATTCAGCTTACCTGTGAGTCCATTGATTGCAAGAGGAACACTCAATAACATCGTATGTGCAAGCAGTTGAGCAGACACTGCATGGGTATCGAGGCTTCTTAGACTTCATATTAATACTTGGTTGTATCTTAGAACTCTATACGCAAGGGTTCATAAAGAAACTGAACTAATGCCTTCTCTGCAGCTGGGTTTTAAATACTTTCTGAGAGTCAGGCACACTTTGATTGGTCATGGTAAATTGAGGGGGAATAGTTCTTTGTATAAGATTCATATTTCACAATAAATACACTGTAAATGAAAATATAATAAATTCTTTTTAAACGCCAAAAGGATCGTTATGATAATTAGCTTGAAATNGTGAAAAAAAAAAATGATACGTAGAGAGTCTTTGTGTCGGCAGATTTGAAGATTTAGCTTAGGCTTTTGCTACTTACTGGACGATATCGTCACCACCAGAGACAAGAGGCAGACGCTGCAGACTGACATCGGGTTCATCTGAAGATAAACGATAAACTAAGATTTAAACAGGAGTTCTTCAGCTGTCAGTGGAAGAATATCTGTCTTAAACTGGCTAACAAACGGTAGATTTTAAGTGCTTATAAAATAAATATCTAAGCTAGCAAATGCCTGTGTTTGTACCTTCTTTTTTAAACTTACATCTTTTAAGCAAGAGGGGCTTTGTCGAAAAATGTACAAGGTTCGTTAGTATTGACCCCACAAGATACAACATAAATGTAATATTGTGGTGCGCCATACGGTAGCCGAGATATGTACATGCACCACTAGGTTCAGCGAAAGGAGACTTTGGCGATTATTGTTTATACGATAATAAAGTGAGAGAGTTTTCAACATTACATCTTAACATTGATACTTACGCCTTTTTAAAATTGCAGGCATTATTTATATTATTTATATTATTTTTCTCTTCAAACGGATAGAAAAAATTACAGAATATTTTTCGTGTATACAGTTTAAAAAAATCCTAAAACTAGATATTTTCAAACTCACCTTTGTTGGTAAATATAAATAAATCATACAGTCAAGAAAAGATTTTGGAGACTTGGCATTAATTCCCTTAACTCCGGTTAACTGTCTGTATGTATTTCTTTTTCTCTTCCTCCTCTCTGCGTCTCTCCTCTGCGGCGGTATCGGACGTCTGTCAACTGCCGAAACTCTGCGATATCTGAGCTCCTCCTGTCACAGGTCAGAGGTCAAATCTGGAGGGAAAGTAAAGCTTCCCTTGATGACTCACATTTTTAATAGACGCCTGGTTATCAAGGTAAATGTCCCTTGGTCACGAGATAAAACGCCTAGCAGACCGAAGTTGACGCCGATAAGTTCAGAAAACAAATGAGGGCCTCACTTTGGTTCCTAACAGCCGAATTGTCGGGTACCCGGATCTTTCAAAAAATAATGATAATCATTGGACGTTTATCTTCCCTGGCTGTATTTGTAATGAGAAAGAAAGCATACATTTCATGACTGATCGTGACGCTACATGTATATTAATCCTCTGTTCAACTATCGTTACTAGCATCTTCCACAGACTAACTTTAGCACGTGACTTAAGTGGCTGGGGGTTATGTTACAGATGCGAGAACTCCCAAGATCGTCCATTTCCTCGTCTGGGGCTAGAATCTCATTACAATGCAATCTGGGGTCTTTTTTTGGCAAACTAGTCATTTTCCTTGCCATTATACAATTATCCAGTGGATATAAAAGATTGCGGTTTATTTGTAAATACTGCTAATTGGTTTTGAAAGTGAGTCATCTCCACTCTGTCACAGCTATAACCGGAGTAAATGGAGCGATTTTCTCGTAAAACAGCGCCTTTATTCCTGGTTAACGGGGTTGAAACACATTTTTGGGTCAGTGGACTGGAGAAAAAACTCCGAGTCTCACATCCCCTAACATGTTAGTAGAAAACGTTTTTATAATACTATATTATGCTAATTAGAAAATACTTCCCTGAAGGTTTCCACTGTATATAAATTAGATGGTTTTATTTCGGTGTTGTGTCCTCCAAATTTATCTATTATAAGAACACGCGGTTGCCTCAAACAGGAAATTGAAAATCTTGGGGTCACGAAAGGAGATCTCGGTCACTTCAGTGATACTTGGACCTAAATATAGAAGGACAAGTAACGCGGCATCTTCCTTTGAAGCTATGTGCGTTCGGGTAAACATTCGCCTATTGTCTCGCATAATCTGTTTTGATAGCTCCACGGGCGTCTGAACAGCTTATTATCAAGGTAGCGCGCGCTGTGCTTCAGTGCATTTCTATTGTTTCTCTGCATTGATAACGCAATTTCTCGCAGTCCCTCGTGGTTGCTATGATACAGCATTGCCGCCATCTTGCAGTTGCGAGCACACAGGTTTCCGTCAACACGTGGAAATTTATTGAAGGGTTTTCGGCATTTTTCCCCGTTATCTCATAAAAACGGGGTGTGAAGTTTGTCTTCAATACCTGCTGTCTTTCCCTGACAGTGAGGTAGTCTCTGACAGGACAGGAATACGCACCTAACGACCGGAAATCTCCTTCCTACATGTAGCTGTGACACCCCGGAAGATCAATCAAATTTTCACAGGTAAGTTTTTCGCACGTTTTCTTAAATGGCACGTATTCATTTGACATTAACTATTGGAAATCATGCTTACGCAGCCGCTGGAGTGTATATACTGATCTTATCACGTGCAGAAGTCACTTTGACACTGACCAAACACAGGTGTCAATTAAACTAGATTGCCTAGTGTCACAAACTAATCGTGAGTGTCATCGATCTGCTTGTTAAATTGTTAAAGGAGCAGCCGTGTCAGATGACATTTACTATTTAAGGTAGAGTAAAGAGAAGGTTAAGTCATACAACTATTGCAAAATGTACGGGAAGGACGACTTTGTATTCTTTTTAGACGATGATGATGCGGAATGGGCAGAAATTTTAGAGTCAAGTTTTGATTTGGACGACGATGAGGGCGACTTTGTTCCAGAGCCTGTACCAAAAAAAAGAAAGAAGTATGTATATAAATTTAATTACGTTTTTAATTTAAGATCTTAGAATTAGAGAAAATGCAATTGGTCAAATTTTAACATTGTGTTGGTTATTTCTTTTTTAATGTACAATATTGGCTCACATCTGATCTTACAATCTGTCAATTTGATGTCATGCTGCTCAAAAGAGTCTCAAAAGCTTTACAAAAAACGTGTTTTTCTATATGATACATTATTTTTTTTATTGTTACTTTAGGAACAAAAGCAAACCTGCACTATCCCCTGGTCGGAAGTCTGACCTTACAAGATTTAAGTTTGAAGAGGTTGTTTTTATGCTGGTCTTAGTTGGGATCCAGGAAGTGATAGACAACCAAATCTACAGTATTACCAAGACAGGTAGAAGTGTCATTGCTGTCTTGTCTGCTTTCAAGTCAAAGCTTGTCTGTTTGCCTGAGTGGTTCAGGGATTTTCTTTGGGAGGCAGTCACCGCTGGGGACAGGGAGGCATTGCCAAGCAGGCAGAAGGACAAAGTTTGGACCAAGTTCCACAAGTTAAGGACATCACCTGATTTTACCACTAAAGGAATGGATTTTCTAAGAAACACTTCAGAACATAGCGACTGCGATGAACTCACAACCAGACAGGCTTTTCAGGTTTTGGTAAGGTCTTCTTTTGACCGGGTGATCAAGTATAGGGAAGACATGGACAGAAAAAAAATGAGTGTGACAAAGAGTAAAATGACAGACAGTGAACAGCAAGCCCTTCGTTATGTGGCAGGATATATGTGCCAAAAATTGTCAAAAAAATGTGAACTAAAGAGCTTGCAGTATGCTGCTATAATAAAAACATGGTTTAGAAAAGGCAAGCCATCCTCAGATGGGGCAGCATATCTTAAGGTGTCAAGACAGTGGACTGAGATGGTTGACAGAGGAGGACTGTGTCATGTAAACGACATTTTGTTTCTGTTTGTGCGTTTGCTTGAGGAGGTGGTGAGGGAAGTATTCTCTGAGGAAAACACATTTTTTTATCATAACCATGGGGATCTCCGTGAAGGAATTATGAACTTGGCCTTACAAAACAAAGCTCTCATGAATTATTGGGAAGAACTGACTGCTGGTGAATCAGACAAATTAAAAATGGACCTTTTTGGCATGTTTGTGAAATTATATATTACCATTAGGGGCCACTCATTTCGCAGACAGCTTATAGAAAAGTACCAAGAATCTGTGTCTGCATCTACGAAAGAAAAAGGATTGAGAAAGTCTCTCAAAAGGAAGAGTAGAATTACAGTTTGAATTATTTCCTAGATTTTCAACAAACAGACTATGATCTTGTGCATTTATAACATTTGGGTTTTTTCACTTAGCAATTAATATCTTAATTAGAATTTCATTTAGGTTTACATTAATTTTAATTAGTTAATTAAAAGTCAGATTTGTAGTATTAGTTTGGTAGAAAATGATACACCAAGTACCAAAATATGGCTTTCTGTTTTCAATAACTGAAAAGCAGTCATAATTTAAGAACTTTAGTATTTATAATACTTGTTTTTTTCAGTCAGCAACTATCTTTCATTTATATTTCATTTTATTTTTCATTAAAAGTTACCCGTTTACAATATGAGATTAATTTCATCAATACTGATCTAATGGTAATAAAAAACACACATATATTGGATATAAAAAATCTTCTTTTTATTTCTTTTCTTTTCACAATTTTAAATAATAAAAGATTTGACAAAATAGATGCATATCACTGCAAGAGGGTCAATGTCAAATGTGAATATGAATTTTATCAGGATCAGATTTTTTAAACCTATATTTAGTGTATTCTGAGGTAATTGAATATGCAATTTCAATCAAGCAAGAAAAAACTGTCCAAACATAAAATCCATGTTTTTTTGTATTTCATTTTTTTATTATTAGATAGCAAATATAAAACAACTTGAGTACATTCCAATATGTATTATTAGTAAAGTAAACATTAATAATGCTTGTTACAAAGCTAGTGATGATGAATATACATGTGCAGTTTTCCTGTCTTGTCTCTTTTTGTGAAAGTCATGTTGGAGTTCTTTCCTATTTGTATCACGAGTAGTATTAACTAATTTATAAAAGGTATCAACTAATTTCTTATTGACTGATGTGAATTATTGTCCAAATGTTTAATTAGTGCGTCTCCTCTTGGGCAATGGCGCATTGTCCAATTTTAACTCTCCGGCATCTTGTGTATTCCCTCGCATCGAAGAAATTTTTAGGGACTTTTGTAATCTTAACGAGGAGGTGTTGTTATTAAATTCATAGACACTTGGGTTTTCGTTGGCTCCTGTGGCACTACGTTGTAATGAGAACCATTGTTCCAAGGGGTCTTGGTTGTAGTGCTCACTCAGAATATACTGCACACCTTGGGTTAGCAAGTACTTGCACGATTCCACAAAAGATCTAATTGTAATTTCAATACCCTCTAAAGTCTGTTGACTGAGAATCATTTTTTGTCTGTCTGCCTTACTAAAATGGCCTGGTCTATGTTTTACCTCAGCTTTCCAGTTCTTCAAGTCAACAAGGAAAACATTCTCCAACCAGTGAAATCTTGGATCATCCGTACTTGTGTATGGTGCAAGGTCTGGCTTATTTCCACGTTCATGACCATACAGAGATCGCCCATTCAAACAGTCAAAGAATTTGTCAAAATTTCTTACGAACTTGATAGTTTCTGTAACACATGGCCCTCCAGTCAACTGCAGTGCATTGGCTACTGTGGAGCTGAGCACCTGAGCTGCATATTTTACCTTCATTGTAGCAAAACTTGTCAAGTGGACATGATTTCGTGATAATTTTGGTACTAGTCTCAATGGTGCAATGAATTCTCGTTCATATAAGTCAATTATGTGCTGCCATGAAATATCATGCCCATTTCTCCAAAGCATTCTGCTGCGCTTGTGGCTGTACGAATTGGAGAAACAGTTTCTGGTTGTCTTCAGCAGGTGGGGTGGGTCAGATATGAAGAATAAAGGTCTTGATTCACTCATATATGGATTAACTGCCTTGTACACTATCATATCCAAGTCATTTAATTCTTTGTGCAGTCTGAAAAATTTTCTGTTTGGTGTAGCTCCATCACATGTAATGCACAATACTTTCACATCATAAAGTTCCAGTTGTTCTATAGCTTCCCATACCAAAGGGTAAAGATATTCCGAGGTGACACCATTTGTGGGGAAATTGGCAAGTACAAATTTAAAGTTTGAGGCTATGCTCCGTACCATAAAAACCAACATGTAACGTGCTAAATTAGGAGTTTTTATGTCATCGCCTTTGACATACCTCTCAAAGTCCAGGATTTCATTTCCTACATTTCCCAAATCCACAAAACCAATCATTTCTCCTGTGTTTTTGTCAAACACCAAGTCTGAGCGGACTTTGACTTCATCTAGCAAGAGTGAAACAAATCGTTGACATGTGTCTAAGTTTCTTGATTCCATTTCTTCTGTCATTTGCCTAAATGACTCGTACTGAAATCCTGACGACACCCTAAAGATGTTGGTGTAGTCTTGCAGAGTTCTGCTTGATGGGAGTTTTATGAAGCCTGTGCTACGCAAAGCCTCATATGCAGCCGACGACTTCAGTTTTATGCTTAAAGCCCACCGTATTATCATGGGATGCCACCTCACACTCCTGGAGTCCTTTGCAGACAGGGCTTTCTTCTGTTGCTCCCAGAAAAGGGATACAAATTCATCTGTGAACATAGATGGCTGTTCTGCTTCCATTGTCTCTTGTACAAATGACTCCATCTCACTGTCCAATTCAACTCCATCATTTGCAATAGCCTCTGTAACTTTGCTTTCCATTCTACGAATGCGTCCATTAAGGTTTCTGAGTTCTTTTCTTTTTTCTTGGAGTTTCATACGCAATTCTTCTGGATTTAGATAGCTATCTCGTGTCTTTGGTGCTGGAATATTGTTAGTGCCATTTGTGTCCTGTTTCCTCTTCCTAGTTCTTGACGCACGCAAGGTACAGCGATATGAACTACAATGCTTACACCGGTTGATACCATTAGAGAGTAACATGCAACAACTGCTGGAGCGAATGGTGCTGTTGTATTCTTCTCCCATAGGCCCCTCCATGTATCCAGATATTGTATTATCCATGGAGCTATTGGATAGACCACACCAAGGAACATATCCTTTGAAATCCTCATCTGGGTTGCCTTGACATATACCACAAGAATCAATATAGTGTAAGACTCTGAGAATCTGTGAAACATCAGTGAACATCCTTCCATAAAAAGAGTAAAGTTCATGTTCAAGCGGCAACTTTTTTCCATGAACCATAACCTCCATGTTCTCACCAGGCGACCAATTAACATTCACTTTGCAGATGGGCAAAGTGTCATTGTTCACAGTTACTATTTTAAATAAATGTAATCTTACAGAACCTTTCTTGAAAATCCAACCATTTGGTAAATCGTTTATCAGGGTTTCCAGTGATTTGTCATTCTCTGCTCCACTTGCTCCATTGTCTAAAATAAATTAAACAAAGTGACATTTTACATCTTGTTAACTTCAAGTGAAATTTAATACAAAAGTGTTTTTCGGGCAATATGCATATAAATATTACAACCAGTTTACTTATGATACATTGCAAAGCAGACACATTATGTTATTCATTAAAAGAAAAAAAAAAAAAAACAGGCAACTCAGCAATAAAAATAAAATCTTCATAATAGCTTACCAGCAAGAGGATTGCTTCTCAGAGTTGCAAGAGGTTCATCATCCTCTGTTTCACTTGCTCCATTGTCTAAAATAAATTAAACAAAGTGACATTTAGCACTCTGTTAACTTCAAGTGAAATTTGATACGAAAGCGTTTTTAGTTAATATGCATTCAAATATTACAACCAGTTTCCTTATGATACATTGCAAAGCAGACACATTATGTTATTCATTAAAAGAAAAAACAAAAAAAAAAAAAAAAAAACAGGCAACTCGGTAATAAGAATAAAATCTTCATAATAGCTTACCAGGAAGAGGATTGGTTCTCAGAGTTGCAAGTGGTTCATCATCCTCTGTTTCACTTGCTCCATTGTCTATAATAAATTAAACAAAGTGACATTCAACATCTTGTTAACTTCAAGTGAAATTAAATACGAAAGTGTTAATAGGCAATATGCGTACAAATATTACAACCAGTTTACTTATGATACATTGCAAAGCAGACACATTATGTTATTCATTAAAAGAAAAAAAAAAAAAAACAGGCAACTCAGCAATAAAAATAAAATCTTCATAATAGCTTACCAGCAAGAGGATTGCTTCTCAGAGTTGCAAGAGGTTCATCATCCTCCGTTTCACTTGCTCCATTGTCTAAAATAAATTATACAAAGTGACATTAAACATCTTGTTAACTTCAAGTGAAATTAAATACGAAAGTGTTTATAGGCAATATGCATACAAATATTACAACCAGTTTCCTTATGATACATTGCAAAGCAGACACATTATGTTATTCATTAAAAGAAAAAAAACAGGCAACTCGGTAATAAGAATAAAATCTTCATAATAGCTTACCAGGAAGAGGATTGGTTCTCAGAGTTGCAAGTGGTTCATCATCCTCTGTTTCACTTGCTCCATTGTCTATAATAAATTAAACAAAGTGACATTCAACATCTTGTTTACTTCAAGTGAAATTAAATACGAAAGTGTTTATAGGCAATATGCATACAAATATTACAACCAGTTTCCTTATGATACATTGCAAAGCAGACACATTATTATTTATTAAAAGAAAAAAACAACAGGCAACTCAGCAATAAAAAAAAAACCTTCATAACAGCTTACCAGTAAGAGGATTGCTTTTCAGAGTTGTAAGTGGTTTGTCATCTTCATATTCACTTGCTGCATTGTCTAAAATACATTAACCAAAGTGAAAGTTATAAGTCAAGTGATAATTTATGCACAAAAGTTACCCGTTTAATTTAATCAATGTCAGGTGCTCTTCAACACAGATAAATAGTTATAGGTCCTGATTACTTATGTAAAAGTAATACAGACAGATCTTTAAATGTATACTGAGACAAACAGGAATTGATAAATGGTGGATACATTATCTGATTTACTTACAAAAGTACTATGTTATTTGCTGACAACTTGTTATTACCTTCAGTTTTCTCTGGTGCTGCCTTTCTTGATTTCTTTGCAATTCTTTTCTTTTTCCAATTTGTTATAGTGGCAGAGAAGAAAGACATCTGGAAGAAAATAAGAATGTTTCTATCACAAACTACTATAAATGACAATTGCCTACTTTACTTCTATTTGGACATTTAAGCCACAGCTAAGCCTTATCAAATGCATCTCAAGTTTCTACCTGTCAGGTAGATTTTCCCTCTAGTGCAATTTACTTCCCTTGTTAGGCATGGACTTTCTAGATCATTATCAGCCAGGTTACTAAACCGTCAGGCCCTTTGATGATTTGATAAAGCCAGGTAGGTGCTATCCAAAGGCATGTCTCAGGATTATTTCAAAGATTTCAAGCACCTGATAACAAGATAATGCAATGTAGCAAGGCAATTATAGAGGTGAGACTCTTATCACAAGTGTGATCAAGATCCACTTTTATGACCATTACCCAAGTAAATATAATCATGAACTTTGCACGTGTACATGTCCCCATATACACTTTAATTAAAAGACCAAGGGTGTGTGTCGTC